AAATGATGAATTAAAACAGATAGAAGAGGCTTTGTTGTTAAATAACTATCCTTTAGAATTCATTAGGAAGGTAGAAAAAAGCCAAACGAAAAATAAAAATAATTGTGAAACTAGTAATAATAACATAAATAAGAGAGAATATAAGTCATCTACAGTTATACCATACAAAGAGGGGACATCTGAGGCCCTACGTAGGATTCTTTATAAAGCAGGAATTAGGGTGGCATCTAAACCTACAAACTCACTCAGGTAGGACAAGCTGTGTAGGTTAAAGGACCCTGTCGGTTGACCCAATTAGACAAAATAATATAATTTACAAAATACCCTGCAATGACTGTGAGTTATTTCAACTACATAGGTCAAACTAGTAGGTCAGGGGTAGTCAGATTGTCGGAACATAAGAATTTGGCTAAGGTAAGAATGCTTGACCCCGAGAAGATAAGTAATTTAGAAAAAAGCTTAGCAATCGCAATGCATGCATTGACACACAACTACACAATAGGGTGGGAGAGGGTTAAGATTCTAAGAAATAATCTAGATAAGTGGAGAGAGAGGTTGATTACTGAATTCTGCCTGGTTTATTGAGTCTACACGAAACACATGGAATAGGAATAATTCATCACTCATACCTGAAATATGGAAAATACTACTGCCAATCAAATCAAGTGAAAAATAATCGAACTATGTAAATGAAATTAGGAAATTGTGTGAGTACCTTGATATGATGATGAGCAGTAATAATATGTGCTCGAAACGTCATCTGTAAACATTACTGTATAACACTGTGAGACTTAATCAAAACAAAAATTTACCCATAATGGAATTATAGTCTACCACAGTGCACAAGTCTTATTCTTATATCAAAGACGTTCTGAGTAAATGAAAAGTGCTTCAACACACTCACTTTTAAGCAAAAACTAGACTTTGCCAAAGCAGATCTAAGACAAAAAGTCAGGAATATAAAAGAAGCTTTGAAAGTTAACAATCACCCGGATTAATTAATCACGAAGTATGTATAAAAATATAAAATTAGAATTAATTGTACTGATAATGGTGACAATAATATTAATAGTGTTGATGACGACATGCATGTCAAACATGCACAAAATAATGACAATACCAACAATGAACCATTTAAATCCTTAATACTACTTGCATGCGAACAAAGAACCTCGAAAACCATACGACATAGAATTCTGAACAGTACAGACAGGAATGAAAGTGACTGGCGTTCAATCACCCAAAAACTCAATTAGAAACAAGCTTTGTCGGTTGAAGGATCAGTCGTGTGGAGTGCAGCCAACTAAACAAAACAAAAAAATTCAGTTTATCTAATAGCCTGCTGGAATGACCACCATGTCAAATATATGAGTTAGAGTGGTTCAACGGGGTCAGTCAGACCCTGAACACAGATAATAAATCTGGCGGACAGTTCAGCTGTAGTACTCCCTACATGCATTCTCAAACAACCATTCAGTAAAGGAGGATGGGATAAAATGACAGTTGTAGAATCGAATGTCACCGGGGTGGAGACAGCACGATTGATGGTGGAATCGATATTCATCGAATAAACTGAGAGAGATTACATGTAGTGGAAATGATTCAATATGTGTCCACATGGACATCTGGAAAATTCTACTACCCCTACAATGATGAATCGGAGAGAACAAAGAAAACAATTTAAACGAAAGACTGGAAGTTGTTTGGTTGATTGTAATTGATATAATTATGAACCACAATAAATTGTGTTGGTAACCTAGTCACCCAGTAAATAATAGTGTTTCACTACTGTGTGGTATATCTAATAAATAGATTAATATGGAATTGCATACTACCACAGTACCTAGGCTTTATACACGCACGTTAAAACACTCACTTTTATCTGTTTTATTTTAAAATTATCTCTGAGGAATGTTCGGTAACAGGATAAAACGTAACCCTGTATCCTTCTTTTTCTTTCTGTGGAAAGCAAAACCCCAACCTGTATTGTCTGTTAAATTCTATCGTTGAACATAATCAACTTTTCACCCAAAACGTATTTAATTCTTGCATGATTTTTTTAACTTACCGGATGAAGAAAGCGGGAATTCTCCCAATTGTTTTGTTTTTACTGACAAATGTATTATAGTGGAGTTCTCTTCTTTTTTTTTTATTCTCTAATCTACCAATTTTCTGACTCCAAAGTTAATTGATTTTTTTCTTTTTTGGTGATTATTCAGCATATTATCTACCCACCTCCCATTGGCAATTACGTCTAGTTAAGCGACACACCCAAGAATTTAGTCAATGCTTAATTTATAATTCACCTGCATGAAAAAGCGAGGAAATTTAGTAAGCAGAATACTTCATTGGTGCAAAAATTCCCGGAATACTAAGTGTCATCTAGTCAATGAAACAGCATTTATCTCTCTTCGTTGTGCTTGATTTAAGTATTTGTTTCATGACATTTGACTGAAACTCATACTTTCCTGTTTGAGGATAATTATTGATGTTGGGCATCTTTTGGACTAATGTATCATATTGTTTGATAAATGAATCTTGGGTTGGATGTCTGACTGACTTGAATTAGCATATCCTGTCTAATCATTCACCTTCAAAATCATCATGGCTATTTTGCTTGAAAATATATTGGTGGTACTTCTTGTTACACGGATCACGCAAAGGTTTTTTTGTCAACCATATGATATGTGAGCCAGCAACATGGAGCACTATTTCAAACATCTGTGTTATTCAGTCATCACAATCTAAGCATCATCTTGTCTGTCTCTGTCTGTTTTCGACATAGAACTTTGCACCGACGTCCAGGAGTTCAAGTCACCATACTCCTTCCTTGTAGCACACAAAGGAAGAGAAGAAAGTAGAAGAAATGCATAGTAGAGACACTAAACAGAGGTGTGAGACAAAGGAATAGTAATAAAGAAGTTTCATTGGAAATCATAGATCACAAGGAGTGGATGCATCTTCGCCAGCCATTGAGAACGATTTTGAGCTATATCATCAATTGTTCTCAACCATAGGTTCTTACCGTCCCGAGAGTCCAACCCGCCAACCGGGAAGTCTACACCTTCTTATGTCACTGGCTTAAACTAACTGTTGTGGATTTGATTGACTGATGAGGCCATATTTTGGTCTGACCACTGCTAGCTTTTTTCCAACCTGATCTATTTTATGTCAGCTAACATTGCCCGTAGAGGAAGGCGATGACCAGGCATACGTAACACATGTCATAAACATCTCAGTCGATGTAATTTGACAGCCTCGTCGATTTATTTCCCCTTCTCCTTACCTAGCACTCGACCGAGGCCTAACCTCAGTATTGCTCACCTTATCATACCACTTCACATGGGAGATAGAACGCAGCAACCTATGATCAAAGACACCTAGTCAGGCTTTTCAGGTCTTCCACTCTCAAGCATTAACTTCGTCTAGCAGAGATATTCTGTGGGGAAAGTATAACTAAGAAGAAGGAGGCAGGAGGAGAAGGCGAGAATAATCTTCTGATTACAAAGAATTTAAAGAAAATGCGTATGATGCCAGCATTAAAGACGGTACTTTTAGATAATACTGTGACAACGGAAGAAAAAGGCCAGACAACAGATCGTTTATTTAGGAAATCAACAGATATTTAATGATTTTCATGTAAATTATTATAGATTATTGTAAGCAAACAAACAGTCTTCGGATTGGTGGTTTGTCGTAGAACGTTAATCTTTCATCTCTTTGTGGCCGTTTCTTGAAGTTCAGATTATCTGTCTGCAAATTGCATCCGTCTACGCAAAGTCTGCTGTGGTTAGTTGTTGAATCAGTCTTTGTTCATAGTTTTCTGACGAGCAATATTGAGGATGTAAACATTGACGTAAATTACTGTCTAACAATTTGGCTAGCAGCCAGCTCTCACCACAATACATTAACTTTAGTTTTAACTAATTCAAATGTGGTAGCTTTTTGGTACAAGAGTCCTAGGGTGACATGGAGGAGATCATGTGGCGAGGCTCAAAAGTTGAGAGATGACGAGCAATCCACGGACCCATGTGAAATGGACAGCAGAAAATAGAAGAAACTGGAGATGTGTTGTTGGAACCATATCTTCCACTCGGAACCTAAAGGAATAATAATGGTAATAATAATGTAGCACTGAGTCAACCAGCTGAAAGTCGTACAACACCTCAGCTAGCTCGACATGTTACTAAACTGAGGAATGTTTTTGAGTACCTTCGGCTAAATCACCCCACTAGACATCTGAAGATGTCTCTTTTATCACTAAACAAATCTGTTTCTCATTTTCACAGCTTAGATTAACGTACCAGTGTGATGGCTTGACACATTACACACCAGCAAACTCTTCAATACAAGTGTTAGTTATAATCAACAGTTGTTGCTAAACGGGGTACGCAAATATATTAGTTAAAAAAGTTTCAAATCAAGGCTCCTCTTACTTTTAAAAAACATTGCCTAGTAGAACATGGGGCTTCAAACTTCTTGGGCTTTAAAATTCCGGTAGTAGTCGTGTTTAATTTTATGGCATGTAGTTGCTGGCCTCATGCTCACCCCACCCCTTCTTTACCAGTCTTATTACTGATTCAACGAGGTAAAGGAATGCGTCAGTGGCCGGGGATCAAACCGCGAACCACATGCCTAGTTGGTGAGTATTCTGCAACAGGTTACCTCCAAAAGGAGGAAGCCAGATTTCCTGCAGTGCCTATGCACATTCTTCAAATTTAATTGACTTACATATCAGAACGGTGGTTGGATTTCAACCTATTATGACCTTGGCTTCTGTTTTAATTTCAGCTATCATCTTATTAGATTGAAATCAGCATTGCGATTTAGGCTGTCGATTCATCTAGTCACATGAATGACTGTGTTCATCGAAAAGTTAACAATGATCCAACTAATATGATTTTATAAACTATAAGAATCTAAACGTTGTCTCCTTTCCTTATAAATTATTTACAAAAAGCACTTTTTTTTCTTTTGTTTCTAACGTTATTTTCTCATAGAAAACAAGAAAATCAAAAAGTTGAACGCCAATCGCCTCGAGCGTGCCTGTCCAATCGAATTGATCGTAATAACATGATATATGGCAGTAATCGTGTGATGAATAGTAGCGATCTAACTGTTGGGAGTAATAATCCAGTGAACAGTGCAACGCCTTATGCCAGCCATCCTGATCTAGCCTCCGCACAGGTAACTTTTAATCATTCATAATGATAATGTAGGCAATAGTTATTGTTAAAGGCATTATTTAAACTCGAAGCATTTTCAGTATTTACTATTACTGAATGTCGAATAAGATCACTCTTAAAAAATATTGAAGAGTCTCTCTTTATAGTGTCACAACTGTTGTAATGGTAGAAGATGAAAGAATTGGTCAAGAATGTTTATCTGCAATTTAGTATATTTATATAACCAAATTATGGACACCTTACCTATAGCTTAACATTTGCACAAATCTTTCATGTTGCGTTGCTTCTGGATTTCATATTGTATTCATTTCACGCCTTCCAGGAATCTCTTCACAACACTTTATCACTTACTTTCCCTGACATCAATTCTATCTTCAAGTATTTGTCTTGTAGGGATCTTACTTGATTGATTGGGGGGATTTCATCATAAGCTGGTCACTGGATCACATCCTAGTAGGCTTAATGTTCTACGAGCTCAGCATACTGGTGAAGAGTCCCAAACTAGGACAACTGTCCAGTACTCTCAGCTTTTCCAAGGGTTCTCTAACTAATGTCAGCTCATGATGAAATCAGATTTATCTCCCTGTTATATCATGTTTTTGTGCTGATGAACGTCTCTTTACATACTACTGATAAATCTTATCAGTATCAGTATGTATGTATGTATCAGTAGCACACACCAGACTGGTATGTCACTGAGGCTTATATGACCCACATTCAGTTGAGGATTGCAAAGCAAAAATAAAAGCTGCACTCTAAGTTGCACTGTTAGTTATCATCAGTCAAACAACCGCATTTCATTTCAAACCATGCAATCCTCCACGTTGTTACCAGTTATAAATTTTAACAAATAAGTCCTATGCCTCTTCCGTGATTGTGAAACTCAATAAGTAAAGCAATTCTAGCCGGCTCTGAATGAGAACACATCTGCTTTGTGATACTAAGATGTCAGTCTTCTGGAATATGTTTTAAGTCAGATATTTAGCACTTTAATAGATAACTTTTCTTTCATAATTAATTACAAAAATCCTCTGAATGAGGAAGGTTAGGTCTCTGTTTGTCCAAATAAATAATCGTCAGATTAGTTTTCTACATACCATCTAGTTTAGTGTTAAGCAGTTGAAAGGGAAGTTAGCCATGTATAAGAGTTAGCCTACAAGTCATTAACCCGTGAACTATATGAGAGTGGATAAAAAATGATTATCGCTTTAAACCGTGTCCTCTACTGAATGTTCTAATCAGTTTCGCAATATTCTAAGGATAAGAATTCTTTCACTATTGTAGTTCTCATGTACAAGTGATACGTATGTGTACTGAAACTATTGCGAAGATTTGTAACTCAAATGTTCACAGTTGGTGTTGTGGTGTTCTTTAAGCTGGAAGGTTTAATTACGCAGCTTTTTTTCATAAGTGAGACTATTTCAAGTAATGTGAATTTCATACATTTATTCCCCTTAATGAACTTGAATAAAGCAACAACAATAGTTTATGCAAAATAATATGGCACCATCATTGCTGATTTCTTTGACTTCTCATTAGCTCAGCTGCTCAGCTCAGCCGAAGTCATTATTAAGTATATCTACAGAAACAGTTTTAACATACTTGCACAGAGACAGTTCATTTTTAAACAAAAATCAACCAATCAGAATGTTCGTACAATGCTAATAATAATAAACACTTTATTCCAAACAACAATAATAATCATACACAATGGAAACCATCAGCATTACGTAATCAGTTGAAAGAGAGGTGAAAATATCCAGTTACCAGGGCAAAGAAAGACTGATAACTGCTTCTTTCTGAACGCATAAATCAGGTTTCTGGCGCTTGATGGAGATGGCTTCAGCAAACTTGAGGAGAATTGAACTCTTTTGCCTAGTGATAATTTTAAACGACCTTGCGACGTCCACTTCATTAGCCGTGTCAAGGAGATGCCTGGCGATGGCATTGTTTATAGCATTTGTTGCCTTTAGACTTCGGCCTGTAATCAGCTGATGAGAAGCCAACGAAATAAGCATGGATGGTAGCATTCTGTTCTGCAAAAACCACTATTGTTGTTCTCGCTTTATTCAAATAATGCGAGTTTATTCGTAATTCAGGTTTGCTTACATAGTTCGCTGATAGTACTGCATAAAATATACCTACCTGTCTTTCCTGTCAAATTACATCTCAGTCAATATAGTTACACAAAACTAAAACGATCTCAGAAGAAGTTTCTAAACTGAAATCAAATTCGTAAATCGCGCTTTTTTTTCACAATTCCAGGCTGTGAAATTTCAGCAGAATTTCCTTCCGAAACTGAAATCATTCAGATTACAGTATGTGATTTGCTTGCTGTCATAAAATAGCAATCAAGATACGGATGCATAACACTATATGCAATTGATAAATAATAAACCTGAGGCGTTGGACAGCACCCACTCACTCACTCACTCACTCAACCAGATTGTGTTTGCCGACCAAACGAGTGGAACACGACACACAGTCTGGTGTTTAGGTCGCTTCTATCCGGCTAGCAAGCACTACTTACTGGTTGATGTGACTGGCGTCCAACTACTTATGCTTGTCAATCGGTTTTATATATGACATCAGGTTAATTTCTAAACTGTCATCTTTTGTTGTTGTTGTTGTTTTCTTTTTTGCTATAAACTGTTTCACGCACATTGATGATTATTTGTTTAACATTTTAATAACAGGCTGCTCAAGGTATTCTCAATGAAAGTAAGGGATTTTATGTGCACCGAAAAAATAATAATAAGAGATGTTGTGTGATTTCCGTTGTCTGTTTCTTTTCCTTTGAGTAAGACACTGAATAAAGACATTTAGAGCACTTTATTGTTACTTGACAAGTTGTCAATGTATTCCTGTGTGTGTGTGTCTGTACTTGTGTGTGTGTGTGTGTAAGTGCGCACAGACTGCAAAAGACAACAGTGTAATCACACTTTAAATGAGGTTGTTCATTTTAAGTGCATAATTCATTAATTAGGCGAAGAGAGTTACTCTGACACTGTCTAGTATGTGTAGTACTTCAAGTGAGTTTTTCCATCAGCTCTGTTTACCGTACGTGTACGTGAACATAGAAAAGACTGCAAAGTTAAGGCGACAGAAAATATTTGTTCATTAGGAGAGACTTAAATTAATGCAAGAACTGGCGCGAGATTATGCTCCTTTCCATCACAAGCAAAATACTAAGCCGCATCATCCTGGAGAGAATCAAACAAGCCGACCTGGATGAAAAACTTCGACCACAACAGGTGGGATTAAAAAAAAAGAATCATGTATTGATAAAATCACCATGCTATGGATCATTATTGAACAAAGCTTGGAATGGCAGTCACCTCTCTATCTCAAATTCATTGACTTTGAAAAGGCCTTCGAGGTGATTTGTCAACTACTTCGCTACCACGGGGTGCCCCCGACAATTATACATCCCATCCAACAGTTATATGAAAATGCTACATGCCAAGTAATCCACAACGGGAAACTCACGGAAGCCTTCGAAGTGAAAACGGGAGTAAGACAAGCTCGCTGCCTACTATCGCCGATGATTTTCCTGATTGCAGTAGACTGGATAATGTGAAAGACAGACAGCAGGTAGTGAGGAAGCAGGCGTAAAATGGACTCACACAAAAACTTGGAGGATCTGGACTTCGCCGATAATGATATATGTCTGATTTCCCTCAAAGTTTAAGATATGCAAGTGAAAAGCAACAAGTTGGCAGAAGAAGCATCAAAGATAGGACTTCAAGTGAACACAGAGAAAACAGAGGTGACGAAGATTCCTGGCCAACAGCAACAACAACAACAGACAACAATCAGCATAAAATGGAAGGAACCTGAAAGAAACAACTTCTTTTACCTACCTACATACATTAGAAGCATCGTTTCAACTACAGGCGGGAGAAACTGATGAATATGTCATAGAGAGAAACATCAGGAAAGCAAGGCAAACTTTCATTACTCTCAAGTCGGTGTAGAGGTCAACAGCACTCAGCATCAAAAATAAGATCCGAATTTTCAGCTCCAATGTGAATTCAGTGCTACTATACAGACTTGGCGCGTCATAAAGAGCACATCAAACAAACTACAGACCTACATCAAGAGCTGTATTTGCTCAATATTCAAGATCAGATGGTTGACCAGAAAAGATCATCCACAGGGAGGGATCTCTAGGAGCGAACCAATCAAGAACTGGTTGTGAAACAAATGGGCAGGAAGAAATGTAGATAGATTGGCCATGATCTGAGGAAACCATCAAGTGACATCACTAGACAAGCCATCGCTCGAGTGGAACCTGAAACGGAAGCGGGTGGCAAGTCGGTCGTCAGTGTGAGGGTGACTTGAAGGAGGTCATGTGAATAGGAGATGAAGTTATGTGTGCAGACTTAGAGCCAGGTTAAAACTCTAGCAGAGAACCAAACGCAGTGGAGACGTGCTGCTGAATTTCTATGTTCCTCTAGGAATTAAAAGAAACAGTAATAACAGGAAAGATGTTAACACAAGATAACTCATAAATCCTAATGTATCACCATCATCCCTAACACATCACTTTCTTTCACTGACAGACATCATCTAGAGGATAAAGGAAAACCTATGGCTTTGTCGTATAGAAGGATGACAGCTGAAGTGAGATGTAGTCTACTTACTAGCTGTTCTCCGATTTCGATTTAAAGTCACACACACAAATACACACCCTTCTCTTCAAACGAACTAAAATATACAACCAGCAAACAGGTGTTAGTGTCAGTCCAAACCTCTCGCGTTTCGTTTTACAAACGTTTTATGAAGGGGTGTTGTCATTTTGAACACTCATATAGACCAATAAAATTTATTATGCATGCTTACTAACTCATCGTATAAACAGATACTATTAGAGAAGAGGGGAGGGAACAGTGAAAAATTCCACTAATTGTGTTGGTGACAGTTTTTTTTAAATTATTATTTATGTTACTGCACCAACTTTACTTTCGGATGGTACTGCATGCTTAGTGTTCAGTGTAC